GGTGTCTGAAAAGTTTATTATTTTTTTATTTTTTTTARTTACCAAAATCAAAAAGCTTCATATGAAGTTAATTAGTTTTTGTTGTTCTTTCTTTTTTGGTTGTTTTCAAGGGAACTGATTTGGTAMCCACATCAAATCATAAATGGGAAAGGAAAAGGTCCATAAATAATTTACATGTAAAGATAAAAGAAATTTTTAAACAATCCACCCTTGAGCAGAAGAAATTGGGGATCACTTGAGTGTTAATGTAAAATACATTCATCTTTAGCAGCAGGAGTTCCAGACCTGCCGGTGCCAAGGAGGTAACAAATAGTCTCCATCTACAAGGGGGAAATGGGCTGCTCAGCAGGAGCTTTCTTCCCTGTTGTGTTATTTATAGGGAGCCCTATTTGTTAACATGTTTCTGCTATTATGGCAAGGGAGAGCTTAATGATTTAAAGGATTTCAGAGACAATTGTTTAATGATACAATGATTTATGTGCATTCACAAATTCCAGATATATAGTAATTTAGATTTTCAAACTGCTGTCACCAAAACAGCCGGCAGGAAATATTATGAAAGGTACCTAAAGAAGCTGAGACAAGTGATAGTACTGGAAATTACGAAATAAAAAGTTTGAACTGCTGGAAAATGCTGTGCCAATACAAATCACTGACCTACCACCATGTATTATGTTAGTAAACTACTTTCCTAGTAAGTTTGTACCTTTCAAACATTTTTTTTACCACAAACCATGAATTAAATGCCAAACTACCTGTGACTTATTCAAATCATTAGGGAATCCAGTCTTTAAAAGAGCAATCTTGTTTGAAGAAAAGAATGCTTTCATATTGATGTTATTTTTAAATTATATATTCATTTATAAAGATGGATTTATAAAATTCTGGCTATTGAAAATTTCTAAAAATTCACATTTAGAATTTGATTTTAACTATTAAAGTAAAAATTTCATTTGAAACAGATAAGGCAAGTCTTCAAAGCTTCTCTTAAATTGAACCCAAAGAGAAAACAAGCTTCATAATTTCCATTTTCCTAATTGTTAAAATATTTAAGCACTTTTTTGTCATATCATAAAACACTTATCACCCCACTTTAAGCCTTCAAGCTTGTATTACTTCCATCTTCATAAAGTTCCACACTTCTATACATTTGTCTTTTGCAAAAAATAAACTGTGATATAAGGATCAACCTAAAGGTTGCTTTTGACAACAGAGTCTACACCTTCAGTGGTAAGTAAGTACTCTCRTACTGTTGGGTCTAAAAACAATCCTTTTAGCAAAATACCAATAACAGCATTTACCATTTTGGGGGAGAACATACTTAACAGAATTTTTTTTTTTTGAATGATGCAGAAATGCACTTATTTCTACTTAAAAGTCAGTTCAAATCAAGTGATTTTATTGATCTGAAACTTTTGAGGCACTGAAGCTAAACAAAGGATGGAACTGGAAGAGAAGATGCTCCTGAGCAGGGACAGCTACCTCATCCATTGCAGATGCTGCTGGGGAAGGGCTGCATCCTGTTTTACTTTGCCTGTCTCCACCCCTTGGGAGGTGGGCTAGGGGCTTCCTCCCCTCTTGGGAAAGGCTCTTCTCCTGCAGAGGTTGGGCTGAGTGACACTGTTTTACTTTGCCTGTCTCCACCCCTTGGGAGGTGGGCTAGGGGCTTCCTCCCCTCTTGGGAAAGGCTCTTCTCCTGCAGAGGTTGGGCTGAGTGACACTGTGCCTTGCTGGAGAATGTGGGTGCACAGAAGCTCCTCCTCCTCCTCCTCCTCTGCTCAGGTAGGCTTGAACACTCAGCAGCCASATCCTGGCTGCTCTCTTCACCTGAGGCAGCAACCACCACACGGGGGTTTTGTCTGGAAGACAGAGCTTCTTTTATGGGGGACATATTTCCCAGGCTTCTGCAGTCAAAAGTACTTATTGTTCTCCTCCTTGATTTTTGGGAAGTGGGAGGACATGGAGGTGATATCCACACAAGCCCTTCACGTTCCGAAGTTTTTTGGAACCTTGAGCTTCGTCGCACTTTGGTTTTACCATTTTGTCTCTGAAAGATTTGTTCTAAACTAATTTCTAAAGAGCTTCCCACACTGTAGGAAGGTTCGTGATTCCCGTTTTGTTCCAAATGTAGATTCTGACCATCAGAATAACACATTGAGCGTCTTCTATGTTTCTTTTCTCTGCAACTCATAATGCTATTTTCTGGGGATTTTCTTCCCACATTATCACTGTTGCACTTAGCTTCTTTTATATTTCCAATTAGAACATCTTCTAAACAATTTAATTCTTTGTGTGACTCACACATGAAAGGGCTGCCCTGCAGTTTCCCCTCGGCAGCAACTACTAAGTCTTCTTGTTTCTCATACCTAATATCTTCTGAAATTTTCAAGGTTTGACAGAGCTTTTCTGCATTCTGACCAGCAGCAGCAGATTCCTGGCACTGAAGGATAAAATCAGGTTTCGGGTGATCTGACACAATGTGTTCTCCCATCACAGAAGCACAAGAAGCTTGACTGTCCTCGGTCTCAGTCTTAGTCTCAGTTTTTGATTCATTTTCACTTTCCAACGTATTTTCTGCTTTTGGAATGTTCCCGTTGTCTTTGGTGTCCATGGTATTTGTATTGGGGTCTTCCTCAGAAGTAACACTGCCAGGCAACGTGGAGGTTTTTATGTAAGAGCGGCAGAGTCCATACACATCAGATTCACCAAGGCCTTGCTGCACGTGCAAATCTTTGGGGTTCTGAGGCCAAAGAATGTTTTTTTTAACTCGAATTTTAGGAGGTGTCTTTTCTTCCAGTTTACCATTTGAGTTGCAACCATCTAGGGGCACATAAATATGTTTAAATCTAATTAAAAAGTAACAGTGGAACCTCAAGTTTATTAAACAGGTGCTTTATCGAATGAATGACTGTGTCCTATTAACATGACGTTTAAGTTTTCAAAAATTATAAAATCTACAAATGCTACACTACACTTGTCCCCATTTGTCATTCTCCTCCTCCTTTCTTAGCTGTTCCCCAGTCCTCAGGTTAAGAAAACAGCTATTCAACACATGAATAAATAAAGCACACAACCTCTGACTATGAAAATGAGTGGTACCTTAAATTGCTTCCTCTATTCTAACACACTTCCCACACTACAAGGTCCATTAGCATGAGGCTACCACATTTCCCATCTCCCTGAAAATAAATTACTAAAAATGGGCAACATTACGCTTCTAAAACTTATTCTATCTACGTCCCTGTATTTCATGATGCTAGGGACAAATTTACAATGAAAGAGATGAATTTGGAAAAATCTTGGGGATTTGAGGACTCAGTAACTAAAAGGGCACAAAGCTCTCATATTCTCTGATAAAAAATTATACAAAGTGCCCTGTACTTTCAGAACCATGTTTGCTTTACATCTAACCTTTATTCCTCAACCTTTGACTCAACTGCATCCTCCACCAACGTGTGCTGCACGCAGCCTTTCACGAGTTTCAGACACTTTATAGGTAAAAAATGTTATCATCAAGTATGAGGTACGTAACATATCCTAATGAACTCAGGCTAAGCTCTGTTCTAAATCTCAGTACTATTTATACTGTAATCTCAGAAAACAGTGTTTTCAATTGGCTAGTCAAATGAGTATAAAAATTTTTAAACAAAATAAAAATTGAAGATATATAAATCTAAAAAACAATGTTTCAATCTGAAAATATATCCATGACTAGGGTATTTAAAATCCTGTCATGTAAAGTTAAGAGATTAAGATTAACATAGGTCAAGGTCCACTCAATGCCAATCAGTGAATATRTCACTTGGGCTTTTACAGCTTTAAAATAATCGGTATTTTTGTATTTTTCATAAAATTCAGCATACTAGAAAAGAAGGTAGGAGACAGGGAGGAAGGAAAAGAGGTGGAGGGAAAATGAAAGACAGATGGAAAGGATAGAGAGGAAGGAAAGAAAGAAGCAAGAAAAGAAGGGAGGGAGGGAGAGAGGAAGTTGTCTTGAACTTTGAGTGGGTAACACTATTGGTTAAAAAATGCTTCAAGTATTCAAAGAATTTTCCTCAAAATGCAGATAGCATGATGATTTCTTAGAACATAAGTAGCATTAGGCCACATTAAGAAAGATATGGGTGACAGACCTCCTGTAACAAGGTGTCCCACATGAAAAGTGACAGGTTGGTCGTTCATTTAAATTCTTGCTCTATCCTCAGGCTGAGAAGCATGTAGAAACTAAGAGTCCACATGCTTGCTTCATTCTCAAATCCTAGGAATTGTAAATCCTATACAGCATACCGCAAATAGGAGGCAGGCTGTAAACAGGATGATTGGCAAAGGCAGCTATTTTAAAAATGATTCTATTAAACAACAACAAAAAAAAAACCCACATCAAATGGACACATGTCATCTTCAGCATGATTTAGCCAGGATTTAAAACTTAAACATTAAAAATCAGATGTAATGTCTACCCATTTTTTAATTTAACTAGGATATTAATTGATTTGATCTTCACTTATAAACAAAAACCTTCAAGGGGCTCAAGCTCTGTTTATAAAAAATATTTCTAGAAGATGCTTAATAGCACCCATTCTAATGAAACTTCATGAGGCAAGATTTTTTTTGTTTTGTTTTGTTTTTGATTTTTTTAAGTTTTTGCTTCAACTCATATATCTTTTACTGAGCCATGAGCTTAAGGGATGGACTGCACAACCAATAGAATTTATTTTAACAAAATGCATTAATAAGCAAAATGATGAAAAAAATAGAAATTATTTCCCCTGAAATTATATGCAAGTCTGGCTGGAATTTACAGATAGGACACAGAGCTCCCATCAGATTCGGACACTAGCCCAAGCCATCTCAAAAAGTTACAAACTACAGCTTCCTTTTCTTAAAATTCTCTTTGTAATGGGAAAATAATGCTACTTTTATTTACGCACTGTTTATTGAATGGGAAATAGGGAAGAAAGGATGAAATAGAACAAAGAGGGTAAAGAGATGGCATATACAGAACTAAGAGGATAAAGCAGGATACCTGAACACATCCTCCGGACGCCTGGAACCAAAGGTGTCATCTCGCAGACCTCAGGCAGCTCAGCAATAGGACTTAGGAGGGGCTTTTTGGAAGCCATTTCTCTTTCCCCATATAAAGACTTCTGAACTCTTTTCACCCACTTCCCTTTTTTCTTTGTGCAACTTTGTGAAACCTAAGAAGATATGTTAAAAATACTATGAGAAAGATGTAGCACAATGCACAATTTTGATCTTGTAACTTCTAAAACATCTCTAATTATCATTCACAGATTTCCGCCCCCCCTTCCCCCAGTGCTGGGATTGAATTCAAAGCCTCATTCATGCTAAGAAAGTGCTCTACCACCGAATTATACACCCACAGACAGCCCTACAGTGATTCCCCCTGACCCAAGAAAACAGGTTTTATTTAAACAAGGGTTTAAATACATTTCATAACATTAAAACTGGAAGGGAAAATGAAAATCAAAAACCAGTGTATCACTTCATGTGGCACTAAACAGCCATTGCTAATAGGCTGCAAGCTCCAAGGCCAACTAGGTATTTGACCCCTTGTCAAAAGTCTAACTGCTCTTAGGCTGGCCACACATTCCATTGTTTTGGACATCCCTTAGTTAGAATATGTCTGGTTAGAAAGATCTTGGCGGCAACCCTGATGGATGTCTTATCACCTCACTGGAGGGAAGGTGGCCTCAAGTYCTGCCCACTTGGGCAGGTTTGGGACACCAGCACCTCTTTCTATTAACAAAGGCTCCCTCTAGTGGCAAAGAGATGTTGCTGCTTACCCCATCCCCTTCTGATTCACCAGGGTTAAGGTCATGATACTCTTATCTACTAAGGGAGAGCAGAGGAAATTCTGGCCAGACACAGCCATACATGATCCTGGGGCTCTGGGCTTTGCTGAACGATCACATTGTTTTGTTTCAGGCTGGACACTACCAGATGCCTACTGCTTGACTGATATAAATGAGGGACTTCAAGACTAGATAGTATGGCTCTTTTCAGTTTATTGCATGAAGAAGTTACACTAGTTCAAGTTAAAAGTAGCCCCCAAATGGTTACATTATACAAGCTGTGAGGTTTTCAAACTGGTGATAAGGGACAGAAGGACAATTCTACTCATTGTAAGAAAATCCTCACTTAAGCTTCAGTGAGCCACAGCACTTAAAAGTCCACGAACTGATCATCCTTAGTCCAGTCTCTGCCAGGAACAGGCACACGTTCTTGTGYTGGTCGCCCTGCAGCTAAATTATGTCTCCATACTCTGGATGCTCAAGTGCAGTACCATTGCAGGCAAATTTTTTTTCTCAAACACCTTCACTAGTTTGCTTTTATCAGGGTCTTCTTGCCATTTCTCTGGTGAACTCATATGAATATAATCCTCAGTGCCAGCAGGAAGCCAGTCGTCACCCTTCTTGCATCAGCAAAAGGGTACAAAGAGTAGAGGCTCTGGATAGCAGACAGGGTACAATTCCCTTTCCCTCGGAGGCAGTGGTCTGTGGAAGGCAGCTACACAGGAGAAGGCAGGTGAAGGGACTCAAAGGGGAGGCTGCGGAGTTGTTGCTGGCGGCTCAGTGACTGGGGCCTACAGTGATTTTTTTTTTAAAGATAATTTTTATAGAAAAACTTATCATGATCAGTTATTCCATTTAAAATTTTAGGCATAAGTCATGGGTAGGCAGTAAGGTAACTTAGGCAAAGTCAGATATAATATGATGCAGCACTCAACAGATTGTACTGTAACTTTCTCTATTTCTACAAAGCATTTGCCAAAATAAGTACTGGATAAGTGAAAAAGAGAGATTAGATGATACAGAGTTGGACAGACCTAAGACATGAGATATTTATAACTAGGATGGAGTCTTGATGACTTAACCCATTGTCCCAGAAGCACACCTATAAAAACTTAAATATATAATTATATTACACATATATTGTAAGGATATAATTATGGTATTAATATATTTTGTTAATACTATAATAATTATATACTTAATATATTTTATTTAGTATATTTTATTGCCAACCTTTTTTTTTTTTAGAGAGRGAGAATTTTTTTAATATTTAGTTTTAATATTTAGTTTTCGGGGGACACAACATCTTTGTTTGTATGTGGTGCTGAGGATCGAACCCGGGCCGCACGCATGCCAGGCGAGCGCGCCACCGCTTGAGCCACATTCCCAGCCCCAATTGCCAACCTATTTTAATGCACTTATATAAATTTAAATGTAATAGTCACAGATTTGAAAACTTGGGACTTAATGGGATAAGATTAACTAGCGTGAGGCTATTTACTGAAATGCTATGGGACCTAGCTGGGAGAAGAAACAATACGTTATGTACAAAGAATCTGAAGATCACACAAAGATAAATGAACTGACTCAATAAACAAATTAATCAAGATAAAAATGAAGAAATTGGAGAGGCTGGGTTTTTAGCTTGATAATAAAGCAACTGCCTAGCAGACATGAGGCCAAGACCCTGGGTTTAATCTCCAGGGCAAAAAAAAAAAAAAGAGAGAGTTAGATTCTAATGAACATGATGGGGGAAAAGATTTGGCAATCACTGATTTTTTAAGCTATGTTGTTTCAGAAAACTTAAACACACCACTTAAATTTCTGGACGGCAGAATTACATCTAATTCTGAGTGTCCTCTCTGCAACTGAGAAATGGCATAAACAGGGACTCAAAGTGAGGTGGCACAGCAGATCTGGGGTTGCACATACAGTACATAGCCAGGGCATAGAAACAGCAGAAGCCAACACAGCAAAGAGTCCTCACATGCGATGAATCAAAGCAAGGAAGGCTCCCTGCATGGTACTTTGGGTTATAGTGAAAAAAGCTCATTTGGGTGACAGCATATATGATTTAGGTGACATTAATAGTATGAACGAGTGGATGAAGACTCAAGAGTACTGAAATGGCATGGAACTGTGTGTTCCTTGAGACATCTCGTAAAAATAATAAAACACAACATTCCATGGAAAAATAATTTTAGAACTCTACAAGAATGTTACTCTGGTTGATATATTGTACACACTTAATATAAAACTGAGTTCTCAATATAAATAATCTTTATACACATACGGAAAATGCTGAGCTCAATATTTTATCAATACATATCTTTTGCATGAAATAACTGTTGACATTCCATTGACCTGGGGAAATGCTGCCTTAGTAATGGGTGTGGAAGCCATGAGAAAAGAAATATCTCAAGGTGAGACTCACTGAGGAGCAGCTACAAGAGACAATTGGCCTCTGGTGTGAGATAGACTGGGTTCAAATTCTGATTCTGCCACTTAACTGTTTATGATCTCCCGCAAGAAAACTCAACTCTGCACCTGCTCCTCCCTCCTGTGCAGAATGGGAATCACATCAGCACACACCATACTAAGTTGTAGCAAGTATTACATGAGTCTGCAACTGAAATGGCTTGGCTGTACAAAGAGTTATGTTAGCTATTCTTCTTATTCCAATTCCTTCCTGTTACTTTGAAAATTGATATGGGGAAAAATACTTTAAAACACATTTTGACTGCCAGGTGTGGTGGTGCATGACTGCAACCTCAGCGGCTCAGGATGCTGAGGCAGGAGGACCACAAGTTCAAAGTCAGCCTCAGTAATTAGTGAGATTCTGAACAACTTAGTGAGACCCTATTTCAACATAAAAAAATAAAAAAGGGCTGGGGATGTGGCTCAGTGGTTGAGCATCCCTGGGTTCAATCCCCAGTACCAAAAAAACATTTTTTATTGACAAATTATACTTATTTATGGTGTACATAGTATACATGTGTAATGGCTAAATCAAACTAATCATCTTACCCACTACCTCACATATTTTTTAGTATCAAAGTATGCTATGTTTTATAGGGGGGCATTGGCCCTACATGGTAGGTTAATACACTATGGTCAGTGTCACCAGGTTATAAACTCCAGAAGAGTTTCTCATTTATAGTAAGAAAAAAGAATCCAGTCTGGAGATGTGGCTCAGTGATGGAGAATTTGCCTAGTATGTGCAATGACCTAGGTATAATTGCCAGCACTGCAGAAGGAAAAAAAATAACCTAGCATAATTTTGGGAATCTTTTTTTATGTTAGATTGGTCAAACACTACAACAGTGTCTTGCATGTGGTAGGTACTCAAATACAAATGAATCAATGAAATATCATAGAAAAACGAAGTACCCTCAAGCTTACCAATTTGCTAAATGTGACTGAAAGACTAAATTTGTTTATATGGTCATGAACTAATAATAATAGTACACACACCACCAAAAAATAATAACCAAAGCATCTCAAGTCTGTCCTGAAAATACATCCAGCAATGCTGATCTTACCAATGAAAAGACTTCATCAGCGAAGGCTAGAAATTGATCAAAATTTCAATTTACCCTGCTTTACTCATAATGTAATCAATGAAAGAAGCCACATCAGAATGGAATTCTTAGGAAGCCACATGATCCAGAAACAGGTTGGTTACTGGGGGCAGACAAAAGATAACTGGAGGTATTGCCCCCAAAGCAGTCCAATTTTCCCCAAAATCAGATTCTTCTCATATAGTGAAGGAGGTCATGAAACAGAAGTATTTTATTGCTTTATTTGCATAATTAAGACAAAATAATTTTCAGAGACTAGTTTTTTAAAAATTATTTTAAAATAGCTAGGCATGGCTGTAGTCCTAGTACTTGGGATGTTGAGACAGGTGGGTTACTTGAGCCCTGGAGATGGAAGCCAGCATGGGTAACATAGAAAGATACCATCTTAAAAAAACTAAATAAAATAAAATATTTCAGGTACACAGTAACCAATCAAATTGTATAGGCAAGTTTGGAATGATGAAACACACAATTCTCTACCCATGGTGTTCACTATTCCTRGTTCTAGTTTTAGTTCTTGTGGCCAGCCCCCTCTCAACAAATTAGGACCTCATATTGCTGTATTTATCCCTTTTTATAATACAAAATCTCAAACACCCAAATGTAAAGAGAATAGTATACTGAAACCTACACACTCAACTAATTTCAACAATTACTAATACAGAAATCATGGTTTATTTATAATCCCCTGCATCCAGAGTATTTAAAAGCAAATCATTTCATCTGAAAATCTTGCAATCTAAGAGATAAAAATTTTCTTTAAAAATCAGTAAGAAATACAAATCAGTGATAAAAAGGAAC